CTGCCAACATGACATTGGTATTTAGTTCACATATTCAGATATTCTAATAATGACTGAGGTCATTTAATAATCTTAAATTAGGTGCTCCGCTTTCCCCCACAGTCCAAACACATACGCTATAGGTTAATTGAGTAAACAAAATTGGCCGTAGTGTTTGAATGTGTGTGTGTTCGTGTGTGTGAATGTGAGAGTGTATGGGTTTTCCAGTACTGAGTTGCAGCTGGAAGGGTGTAAAACATATGTTGGAATAGTTGCCGGTTCATTCCGCTGTGGTGACCCCTGACAAATCAGAGACTAAGCTGCAGGAAAATAAATGAATGAATGTTTATTGGTGTGCAGATATAGTTCAAGATGTATTTACATGTACAATTGTCAAAATATCCCAAAATATCTCTATTTAGCTCAACAAGCATTATCAAATTGCACTTAAAGAGATTTTTTAAGAGTGCAGATACTTATTTTTTCATATTTAACTATTTCATATTAATTTAATTATTTAAAATAATTATAATAAATGTCAGGAAAATGCACGAAAAGTAGTGTGATTTTGTAGTGTAAAAATGCATAGTAAACCATATTAAATATATCAATATCATTAATTAAAATAATAGACAACATTGAAATAAATAAAAAAAAATAAAATAAAAAGGTTTTCTAAAATGTTATTATTTAAATTACGGATATAGAATAATGAAGTACTACGCAATAATAAAATTAATTAATTAATAAACAAGTTAAATAATCAATTCTACTTTAAGTGCATTCTCCTAATATTTATTAACATTATTTATTATTTTTTTATTAAATAAGGTAATGAATATAAAATATGGAATATTTATTTATTTAAAAAAATGAATGAATTAATAAAAATTAAGGATATAGAATACTGACATTCAACCCAAAAATAAATAAATATTAAATAAATAATCAATTGACACTATTTTAGTGCATTTTGCTGACATTTATTATTATTATTTGTTATTTTCTATTAAATAAAAAATGAATATGGAATATGTATTTATTTGCATATATTTTAATGAAAATTTTAATTATATATATATATATATATATATAATATTTTCACCACAGTTTTTAATATTTCCACATTATTATTTATCATTTATTTAAACAAAATTATTTAAATGCTTGAAAAAGCACACCAGGAATATTTTAGGTCACAACATTATAATATTATAATTAAATATATTTTTTCATAACTAATCATATTGAAGTGAACACTTAAATATTTACACACACACACACACACAGTGCCATACGTATCATTAGCCTCAAAACCCTCTGGTATTTTCCATCTTTGCGCAACAGTTGTGTTATTGGAATATAGTTTACGCATGTGCAACAAATCAATCCTAGCGATCTGCAACGTCATATCAGCTGGCCAATCAGGAAACACTGCCTCTGTTGGCCAATAGGGTTACGCTGGGTTTGCTGGCCAATCAAAAAGCACTGAGTCTGTTGACCATTTTGAGTACTCTGGGTTTGTTGGCCAATCAGAATGCACCGAGTCTGTTGACCATTCAGAGTACATTGGGTATGCAGGCCAATTAGGAAGCACTGGCTCTGTTGGCCAATCAGAGTACGCTGGGTTTGCAGGCCAACAGACCTATAGAATGTGTACTGATTGACCAGCAGACCTAGAATGTGCTCTGATTGGCCAGCTGACATTGCATGAGGTCCATTTTCGTCAGTATTTTTGAACAGCCTAGTGAAAGTCATTGTAAATGTCAACTAAAACGAGCCCTCATGAATGTCTTCTATCAGAAAAGAAAGATATGCAGAACTGTGTTTAATATGAAAGAGAATGGAGGCCCAGCTGCTGACATCTCAGTTCCTGTTTCATTCATTTGCCACTATTCAAACTGTACGTTAATATTAACCTGATTATTCCTCTACAGAGAACTTGGCCATGAAAAACCACACTCTTATTCCTCTCACAGTTTCAGTTCCTCTATTAAATGCTTGTTTGCCTGTCGTTAGCCACATTATTGACGTGTCGCCCCACCACACATTAAATAAAATGCAAATTTGCCCCAAACATGTTTTGTTTTCTGAAATAAGTTTACATGAAATTATATTATCATGATGACAATCATATCCGACTCCATTTCAAAGTTGTGTAGGTTCTTGTGGTATTTTTGTGAAATAGTTTGTGATATACTATCTACTGAAATGCTGCTTTTCCATTGATACATTAACATGACTGATAATATTTAAATGAGAACTTGTTTTCACACTTTTCTTTAACCTACATTATTCATTTATTACAGATGTGTTGTACAGTGAAATTATACGTATTAAATGGTGGGTTTTTTTGGCCAATCTGGATGCACTGGGTCTGTTGGCCAATCAGAGTATGACGGGTCTGTTGGCCAATCAAGAAGCACTGGGTCTGTTGGCCAATCAAAGTACGCTGTGTTTGCTGGCCAATCACATAGCACTGGGTCTGTTGGCCAATCAAAGTACGCTGTGTTTGCTGGCCAATCACATAGCACTGGGTCTGTTGGCCAATCAAAGTACGCTGGGTTTGCTGGCCAATCACAAAGCACTGGGTCTGTTGGCCAATCAAAGTACGCTGGGTTTGCTGGCCAATCACATAGCACTGGGTCTGTTGGCCAATCAAAGTACGCTGGGTTTGCTGGCCAATCACAAAGCACTGGGTCTGTTGGCCAATCAAAGTACGCTGGGTTTGCTGGCCAATCACAAAGCACTGGGTCTGTTGGCCAATCAAAGTACGCTGGGTTTGCTGGCCAATCACAAAGCACTGGGTCTGTTGGCCAATCAGAGGACACTGGGTTTTTCTGGCCAATCAGGAAGCACTGGGTCTGTTGGCTAATCAGAGTACACTAGGTTTTTCTGGCCAATCAGGAAGCACTGGGTATGTTGGCCAATCAGAGTACACTGGGTTTTTCTGGCCAATCAGGAAGCACTGGGTCTGTTGGCCAATCAGAGTACACTGGGTTTTTCTGGCCAATCAGGAAGCACTGGGTCTGTTGGCTAATCAGAGTACACTGGGTTTGCTGGCAAATCAGGAAACACTGGGTCTGTTGGCCAGTCAGAGTACGCTGGGTTTGCTGGCCAATCAGGAAGCACTGGATCTGTTGGCCAATCAGAGTACGCTGGGTTTGCTGGCCAATCAGGAAACCCTGGGTCTGTTGGCCAATCAGAGTACGCTGGGTTTGCTGGCCAATCAGGAAACCCTGGGTCTGTTGGCCAATCAGAGTACGCTGGGTTTGCTGGCCAATCAGGAAACCTTGGGTCTGTTGGCCAATCAGAGTACGCTGGGTTTTTTTTTTATTAAACGGTGAATTGTGTTACAGTTACTGTGTTACAACAATGGATCACTTTCTACCCTGCTGTAATTACTGAATGTAACACACAGAGACTTACACATGTAGCGGTGTGTGTTAGTATATTTGTGTTATATTAGATAATTAACATGATATGGATAGTTTTTATTGTTTATACATCATGCTATGACACTGTTGGTCTTCTTATGGTGATGTTTGTTAGATTAGTTCAGTTTCTTATCTTAAAACTGCGGTTTGTGACACTTATTTCCTTCCTGAACTCTTAAATACGCATATTAAGATTAATAGGAGCAAGAAGAGATAAAAACAAAGAGGATTCTGATGTTTGGTTGTCATCATAAAACCCTCATTGGGTCAAATATGGACAAGCACAATTTTGTCTAAATCTTTTCAATTAAATTTAAATTACGCTTTTTAACTCGACTGTAGGGGTCTACCCATATTGGACCCAAGGATGGGTTAAAACAACCCAGCATTACACGGACACACATTTAGATATACACACACGTGAATATATTCACACATATGCATAAACACACACGTGAATATATTTACACATATGCATAAACACACACGTGTGTGTGTGTATATATTTACTGGCCAACAGATCCAGTGCTTCCTGAATGGCCAGCAGACCCAGCATACTCACGATTGGCCAAGAGACCCAGTGCTTCCTGATTGGGCACTGACATCAAAGTACACAATGTGTGGGCAATCATGAGGCACTGGGTTTGCTGGCCAATCTGAGTACATTGGGTCTGCTGCCCAATCCGAAAGCACTAGGTCAGTTGGCCAGTCAGAGTAAGCTGGGTTTGCTGGCCAATCAGAGTATAAGAGTTTGCTGGCCAATCAGAGTAAGCTGAGTTTTCTGGCCAATCAGTAAGCACTTGGGTCTGTCGGCAAAATCAGTAAGCACTGGGTCTGTGGCCAATCAGAGTACACTGGGTTTGCTGGCCAATCAGGAACCACAGGGTCTGTTGGCCAATCAGGGTATGTTGGGTCTGTTGGCCAATCAGAGTATGCTGGGTTTGATGGCAAATTAGGAAGCATTGAGTCTGTTAGCGAATCAGGAAGCATTGGGTCTGTTAGCGAATCAGGAAGCACTGGGTCTGTTGGCCAATCAAAGTACGCTGGGTTTGCATGCCAATCAGAAAGCACAGGGTCTATTGGCCAATCAGAGTACGCTGGGTTTGCTGGCCAATCACAAAGCACTGGGTCTGTTGGCCAATCCAAGTACGCTGGGTTTGCTGGCCAATCAGAGTACACTGGGTTTTTCTGGCCAATGAGAAAGCACTGGGTCTGTTGGCCAATCAGAGTAAGCTGGGTTTTTCTGGCCAATCTAGAAGCACTGGGTCTGTTGGCCAATCAGAGAACACTGGGTTTTTCTGGCCAATGAGAAAGCACTGGGTCTGTTGGCCAGTCAGCAAACACTGGGTTTGCTGGCCAATCACGAAGCACTGGGTCAATTGGCCAATCATAGTACGCTGGGTTTGCTGGCCAATCACAAAGCACTGGGTCTATTGGCCAATCAGAGTACACTGGGTTTGCTGGCCAGTCAAGAAGCACTGGGTCAATTGGCCAATCAGAGTACACTGGGTTTGCTGGCCAGTCAAGAAGCACTGGGTCTGTTGGCCAATCAGAGTACGCTGGGTTTGCTGGCCAATCAGAAAG